TGGTGAATAAAATCAGCAATTACCCATTTAGGACCATTTACTTCGCTCGCGCGTCATAACCTAGTCTCCTCCGCAGCCGTTATTAGGATCGTCACGCGAGAAGAGAAGCGAGTAGCGTTGCGTGAAGACCCTGATAACGGCTGCTGAGGAGACTAGTCATAACCGGGCTGGGTCAGTTCTAGACTTTTAGTTTAAGAGATTTTGGTAAAAAATATTAACAATTACTCCGCCAAGGCACAAAGTTACAAATAAAATGGGAAAGAAGGATTTCCATCAAAGTATTTTTAGGAGGTAAACGTTTTTCTGCTTATTTTGATTTCAGATTATTACTTCGTTGCGTGGTTGATGCTAGCTGAAACACCATATACAGTTGACTCCTTAGCATCCTGGTCTGACCCTTATCATTTGAGTACAATGGTAGGAGACGTGGAGGATCGGGTAAAGACCAGAACTTTAAATTACATTGACGATAAAAGGAAAAGATACAGTAACCTTGTGTTTAACCCGTTAAGCTTGGCTCGAGTAGTCCGAGTTTGTTCTGATGCTGGCTAGGGTTCTTGTATCGCGTTCTTTGGTGAGACACTTTCTTCTCACGGTGCGTCTCTGACACCCTGGTGTATAAATGGGTACCGGCAAACTATCAGAGCAATCTAAGGAGATATTAAGGCCAATCACGTTATGTAAGTTTAGAATATAGCTGTTGTATACCCGCTATTGGACCTGTTCGTGCATTATGCATGGCTGGCAATTATAGAGCACGTATGTCCCGGATGTTTTTACTTCAGAGCAATCACCGACCCTTGTCAGTATGTAAATAGTTTCGAAATAGAAGATGTTGTTCCTGGGTTTTCTGAGAAAATAATGCACTTTTGAGGTCAAGAAAACTGCTGAATGTACTTGTGTTCCGCTCGTACGTCCACTAGCAGTTTTTCTAAACCTAAAGCGTGCATTATTTTGTTAGAGAACATGGAAAACATGTTCTATTTGGTATCGAGAAGTAATACTCCTTGACGCCTAACACTGTAGAAACCAGAGTCCAYCGCCAGCACTAGTGAACAATCTGTCCTCACCAATCTTCAAGATTACAGCGGAATTTATACCTCTGCCGATGCAATGAAGGCCTCTTCTATAAGTACACGTTTTTCCTCA